CTGACTCGATGGCACCTAAAAACAACAACAAATTCTCCAGCATTTAAAAAAATAGTTACTGCTATTCATCCAGAAACAGTATATAAACTTATTTTGTGACCTTGAAATACGTAAACCAGTAGGTATCCTTTTGCAATTTGTCTTTTCACTCAACATTAAGTTTTGACATTTATTTATATAAGAGGGCTTCAAAAAGTCTGTAGAAGAAATTCCAGTATCTTTTTTTATTTTTTTGTGAATTGGGTGCAACTTTACAGAGCAAATCAGCTTTCCATTCACCAATTCATGCATTTTGTTTCACAGCATTGATGGTAATCCCCACAATGTTACATCACTGTGCACACTTCCTTCCTGTTTTCCATTACCATTCTTCCTTCTTTACTAACCCTTCTAAAGTTTGTCCTGGGCTAAATGCTGCTCTTTTATCTCTAATAGATGCTTATTGTAAGGTGTGCCTAGTGTTACTGTTTCACTTACATCATTGCTGTTAAGTGCCTTTAAGTCCCTTCAAACTCAGCAACTCTGTATCGGGTTTCCAAGGCTGTAAATCGTTGCGGGAGCAGAAAGCCTCATCTTTTTCCTGCAGGGTGGCAGGTGGGCTTGAACCACGTACCTTGTGGTTCACAATCCAGAGCTTATCCTACAGAGTCACTGTGCTCACTTACAGAACTCTGTTGTTTGGCTGAAAATTGAGCCATGCATGTGGGTTCATTTCCATACCTGAAGGGTGACTAATGGCCCATAGTTTTAGGGGTTCCAGCAGTCTCTATTTGACCAAAAAGCCTAGTCTTTTCTAAGATTTTCAGTTTTGTTTTACAAAAAATTCCATTATCTTTTACTTTCATTCTTCCATGAACTTTTTGGAGTCCCCTTGTATTTATGCCAATCCATCTCAATGACCTTCCACTTTACTGCATGGTGTCCTTCTTCAGGGACTGGTCCCTCCTGATAATTTTTTCTCTTTTGGTCTTTTTTATATATACTCTTGAGATATGAAGTTTTCATGTGGCGCTGTGGGTCAATGCGCTGGACTGCAAGGTCAGTTTGAACTGCAAGGTCAGCAGTGGTTCAAGCTCACCAGCCACTCCTCAGAAACCCTATGAGTTGGAGCCGACTGTACAGCACTTAACAACAACAACAAATTAAGATATAATCTATGTACAGTGAAATACACAGAACTAAAGTGTTACATGTCAATGAATTTTATATATTCTACAAGCCAGCCTCCTGCCCGCACACACACAGCCTTACTCAGTCCTTGTTGCTCTGTCTCTCCATGCCACCACCTATGCCACTATTTCTGCTATAGCCACCCTCCACTCATGCTCTTCCTTCTTGTCAATTTATGCTATGGATCCAAGTGGTCCGATCTGCACTTCGGAGGCAATGGCAACAGCACAGTAGTTCGTTCCATTGTGTATGTGGTTGTCATGAGTCGGAAGCCGACGCCACAGCAGTCAACAACAACACTTTGAGCATTGCTCTGTATGAGGGGGCTTCAAAAGTTCATTCAAAAATGTAATTCAAACAGAATTTCCCCCTGAACGTTTTTAACCACTTGCTTGAGAAATACACATGAAATAAAAAATTTTAAAACTAGAAAACAACTACTAAAAAAGGTTCCTATTCATTGTCCAACCTCAAGTTTGGCGGCTCAGAAACCCTATACAGGGTCGCTATGAGTCGGAACCGACTCAACGGCAGTTAACAACAACAACAACATTATGGATCTTGGTGAAATTATGCAGGGCACGTATGTTCTAACAGGACTCTAAAGGTAGGATTGGTGGTGAAGTGAGGCTCTTTTCTTCTGATACACGCAGTTATGCAGGCTCCCACCAGGTGGCAGCACATACCACAACTGGAATAGCAACTTCCCAAGACAGCTGAGAGCCTTAATAAGTTGATAGGTGATATATGGCCCACGTGTCAAGAAAGGATTAAAATCACTATGTTTTTAAAATTTGCTTGCAAACTGCTATCCCACTGAGGACAATAAAAGAGAAATCAGGTGTCTCAAAACCACAACATTTCTCTCCAAGTGGTACCTGTGGTCTGAGCATGTATCCTGATGGGCCATGAGTTGACTAGGAGACATTTTAAAGTTTATTTTTAAATGTACCCATGTTATGGACCATCGCAGTGATCTCCTAGGAGGAATCATTCCCTCTCAACTCTAGGGCCAACACCACTCCTTAAGCATCAACCACTACTTATGCTTCAAGATCAAAAAGAAAAGAGCAGACACTAGCTTACTGATTCACTTCACCCAGGTGCAAATGAAGGAAGACAATCTAAATAATTAACGCCCAGCACATCCACCACCACCAACTGGTTCATTGTGACTCATGAAGACCCCACATGTGTCAAAGTAGAGCTGACAGTTTTCAATGGCTGATTTTCCAGAAATAGATCACCAGTCTTTTCATTCAAAGGCTCTTTTTGGTTAAGAGCTCTGGTAGCATAGTGGTTATGAATTGGGCTGCTAACCTCTAGGTCAGCAGTTCGAAACTACCAGCTGTTCTGTGGGAGAAAGATGAGGGTTTCTGCTCTGACTTGGAATCAACTCCACGGCACACCACCACAACATAAACATATTCAGCACCTAGAGATTCTGCCCAGTACATACCAAACCAAAAATATCCAAGCATGCTGCCATCTAGTCAATTGGGACTCATAGTGATCCTATATAGGTTTCCAAGGTTATAAATCTTTGTGAATTTATGTCAGAGTGAATGACTGGTGGATTTGAATTGCTAAACCTTGTGGCTAGCAGTTCAGTGCTTAGTCTATAGCACCACTAGAGTTTCTGTTGTCCAGTACATGTTGTTTTTGGTAGGTGCTGTTGAGTTAGTTCCAACTCACAGTAACCTGATGCACAACAGAATGAAACACTGCCCAGTCCTACGCCATCCTCACAATTGTTATTTTTGAGTTCACTCTTGCTGCCACTGTGTCAGTCTGTCTTGTTGGAGACCTTCCTCTTTTTCACTGACCCTCCATTTTCCCAAGAATGATGTCCTTTTCCAGGGATTGGTGCCTCCTGACATGTCCAAAGTATGCAAGACGAAGTCTTCCATTCTGACTTCTAAGAAGCATTCGAATTGTACTTCTTCTGACACAGATCTGTTTGCTCTTTTGGTACTTTCAACATTCTCCTCCAACACAATAATTCAAATGCATTGATTCTTCTCTGGTCTTCTTTATTCATTGTCCAACTTTCACTTGCATATCAGGTGATTGAAAATAGCATGGTTTGGGCCAGGCACACCTGAGTCCTCAGTGACATCTTTGCTCTTGAACACTTTAAAGAGGTCTTTTGTAGCAGATATGCCTAACGCAATGAGCATTGACTATGGGTTCAAGCAAAAATCAAATCTTTGACAACTTCAATCTTTTCTCTGTTTATCATGATGTTATTTATTGGTTCAGTGGTGAGGATTTTAATTTTCTTTAAACTGAAATGCAATCCACACCAAAGACTTTCAAGTCCTTTTCGCTTTCAGCAAGCAAACTTGTGTCACCTGCATATCTCAAGTTATTAATGAGTCTTCCTCCAATCCTAATGCCATGTTCTTCTTCATAATAATCCAGCATTTCAGATTATTTGCTCAGCATACAGATTGAATAAATAGCGTGAAAGAATGCAACCCTGGCCCACACCTTTCCTAGTTTTAAGCCATTCATTATTACCTTGTTCCCATTACATAGCATTTCTCAAAACATTTGTGTTGAGTAAGTGAATGTTTGAAGAGAGAATTGGTGAGAAAAATTTGGTCTCCACAGAGCACACAGTTATGGAATCATGTCCAAATTTACAACAGTCACCAGGCTTTTTTTCCAAAGGGTCTTTGGTTGAACCCAAACCTCTTTTTGGTTAATAGCTGAGTACATAGACATATTCTATACTATATTCTCACAGCAAGCTGAAATTATATTTCAACAACAAAATAATGGTCACATCGAATTAAGTTGATTCAAATTCTTGGTTTCTGTAGTTTTATTTTAATGCATGTCTGGTTTTCATGGTTGTGTAAGTATGCATACCAAGCTTATACACAGTTTTATGTTTGCATATATTTAAGTGCTCAAAAATTTGTCATCACTAAAGGGTCTCAGACATAACTTTTTCATATAGGGCAGTAAACAGAATATTCAATTTTACTCCTTGCTCCAGAGTACTCCCTTAGTCCCCCAAGTTCTGTGGCTTACCTGCAGGGCAATTTCCTTCTTCTTGCTGCCCATGGCTTTCTGTAAGGAAGACAAAAGTTCTGTTACTGCAGGTTCGAGGCCAAACCAGTACCAAGTTGAAAATAAAAGACTCCTTCAGACAGATCCCCCGCCACGTTTAAAGGTGTTTATCAGTAGTTCAGGAGTCCTGGTGTGGCGCTGTGGGTTAATGCACCAGACTGCAAAGTCGTTTGAACTGCAAGGTCAGCGGTTCAAGATCACCAGCTGCTCCTTGGAAACCGTACACAGGGTCTCTATGGGTCAGAACCGACTCGACCGCACTTAACAACAATCAGCAGTTCGAAACTCCCAGCCGTACTGCGGGAGAAAGACGAGGCTTTCTGCTCCCATAAAGATTCACAGCTTCGGAAACACCATGCAGGGTCGCTATGAGTAGGAACCAACTCCACGGCACAACACCATCACCACCATAAGGACTTCTGGTGTGATGCTGTAGGATCAGCACTGGATGGTGAATCACAAGGTCGGCAGTTCAAACCCACCAGCTGCTCCTCGGAAATCCTATACAGGGTCGCTATGAGCCAGAACCGACTCGACGTCACCTAACAACAACAGTAAACGACAACAAATAAACGCACAGATACAAAATAAACACCCCACTGGCTAAAAGGACATTGTGGAGCGTAATTGGCAGGGCTGAGCGCGCTCAGAACCCGGAGTTGGTGCAGAGCAGCTCTTCAGGCAACAGAGAGACAGCAGGAAATTTGGGAGCAATAAACGCCATGTAACGACTATCCCCACTGTTCCCATGCATTACTGGGAAACGGAGCAACTGCGACTATCTCCAGACAGGTACCGGCCCACCGAGCTCTGGTAGAGGTTCCAACCGAGTCAGAAGAGGCCCAGCCACGGTCGTCATGGCAACCAGAGCCAGACAGTCTGCCTGGTGAGCATGCGCACACGTAAGCCGCGCCTACTTCCAGTCTAATATGTAAGCCGCGCCTACTTCCAGTCTAAAGCGACAACGATCACCCTAGAAAAGGAGAAGGGTGCCCCGCCCCTGCTGTTAGAGGCTTTCTCACTGGCTGAACTGCTTGCCAGTCTCTGGAGACTTGCATCCAACAAGTGAAGACAACAACTGTGTCTGTGTGTCTGCGTACTGTACACCTGTATATTTGCATCCTGCATTCCTGCATCCCTTCTGTCCAGCAGGTTTGTTTTTTTAGCTTTTCTACCATTGTTGTTTTTGTTGTTAAGTGCCATCGAGTCGGTCCCTACTCATAGCGACTCTGTATAGGGTTTCTGAGGAGCCGCTCGTGAATTTGA